TCAGACTTTGCGCAGTCTTTTAGGCAGTAGTTAAAAGCTCAGTCAAAAGTTCTTGAGGGGAAGATAATAGTTATATTTATTATCCATGAACTTCCTGAATTCTTGTAGATGGGTTCATTCTGTCTCAAACCCCTTCCACATTGGAGTCTTTGGAGTCTTGTTGTTCCTAGGGGCTTTCCATGCAATTACTGTCCTTACATTACTCACAGAAGCAGCTAGTCTTGCTTCAAATGTTCATATTGTTTGTGTATCTTGCTACTCCCAATGCAATCAAAACTTTATAAATTTGTTACTCTTTGGAAAACCACTATTGCAGCTTGGAATCATCTAATTTCCTAGACGAAAACAATGAACTTTCAGCATAGACACCTCCTGGTTATTGCCATCATATTAGTCTTTACCCATTTAGTTTGGTTAATGTATCATCACTGATATTCCTGAGCTTGAATCTGAAATTATGGGCAAGTCTGCATCCTGGTGACTAGTTGCTACATTTTTCATTGCAGGAAGTGTTACTTTGGATCAAATCTGTGGTAGATGAGTGTGGAGAAAACATATCCAAAGACCAGCTTAAAAACTATGTCTGGAAAACACTGAATAGTGGCAAGGTATTGTCTGAAGTTTATTTGAATATAAGATTTAATTTAAAGATGATTTATGAAAATTCTTCTGACTCAGACATTTGCTACAGTACCTGTCCATCTGGTGATATTTTAAATCAGAAACACTTGGTAGATGTGTAAATTTCGTTCCTATTCCATCATTATCATTTTTTGTTGCTGTGTTAGGATCCCTTGTACTGGATCTAGCTATGGGTCTATCTAACAAGGGAATGGGCTGTGAAGATGAAGGGAGCAAGGGGTTGTTCTTCTTTTGACCTATGATTGCAAATTGTTCAGGCTATAAGGAGGGAACCTGATGATCTCTTGAGACTAAGTTCTCAAAGTGTTTAATGAATTCTCCAGCATAACTTTTCTTTATTAATTTCTGATGTCCTATATATAGATGATAAATTGATCCTAAGAGTGGAGGAGCACCCTCCTAAAAAGTAGAAAACACAACTAACAAAATCTAAAGTGGAGGAACTGCCTCCCATAAGACAGGAAACATAACTTCATAGAAAACACCTAAAGTAAAAGACTCCTAAAAATCATATAACTAAATTATTTTCCAGCCTGCTCTTGTCCACGAGTGTAGCACTTGTATACTTGATGTGGCTCGCTAACATGCTGCATCTGATCTAATACTCTTATTTACCTTAGAAGTAAGGCGATTCAGTGCTCTTAAGCATCTTGTGGGTGCCTTTGAAATTTCTGTGTTTTGAGCTCTTTTTCTGCTTTCCTTGAAGTTGTACTAAGATAGCATTTTACCTTTCGAGATCCTCGATTTTGGATCAGTGAAAAGGGTTTTTTAACATCCTTCATATGACCAATAGCACTTTTTACTTTCAGTTCTTATTAGAAGCTCAATTAGATTATCTTTAATGTCGGCTTAGTTCAATGTCCTTTCGGTCTGCAGGTTGTCCCAGGATTTGGTCATGGAGTGCTGCGTAAAACTGATCCAAGATACATGTGTCAGAGGGAGTTTGCATTAAAGCACTTGCCTGATGATCCCCTATTCAAGCTGGTTCTCACTTATGCCTTGATAATTGAATGTTAATGATTGTCATTTGTCTGCGACTGTTTACACATCTAGTTTATTGCTAAGGAGACATAATTTTCATCATTGCAGGTTTCACAACTTTATGAGGTGGTGCCTCCTATTCTTACTGAGTTAGGCAAGGTAATTCTGATTTACATTCTTTGAGCAGAAATCTTTCAAAGTATTTGCATATCCTGCATGTTTTAACACATCACACGAGAACTGCTTTGAGTGCAGTGGTAAAGTTCAGAAGACATGTAAGTCTATAGTTAATGGATAGGAGCTGGAATCATTGTTGGCTTGGTTTATTACTTGAAATAAATGGTAAAATTGGGAAAAACGGATAAGGAAAGCTAGGAATCCCCATGGTCTCATGGATTATAGTCATTATTGCCTATGTTACTTGAACTCAGGTGAGTTTCAGGTATGGGTATGTGTTTGGCATGAATATGTTCAGATTTTTTTATAAAGTCATCTATAATTGCGTGGGATGAGTTAGTTCCAAGATCTTTCATATGGAAGTTTATCCCTAGGGCTGTGTTGTGGTCGGTTTGGAAATGTAGGAATGAGGTGATTTTCCAGCAAGGGAAGGTTGATTCTGCGTTGTTGTTCTTCATTACAAGGTTCAGAATTGTTTCGTGGTTTGGAACTTCATTTAAGGATGTCCATTTTCCTTTCGATTCCTTGATGGGGGACTTAAAATTAGCAGACTGTAATGGTAATTTGAATAAGAGGAATCCTCCTCCTTCTAGTTGGAGTCCTCCTCCGGAAGGTTTTTTAAAAGTAAATGTTGATGGTGCAATGGTCAAAGGTTGGGATAAGGGGGGAATTGGTGGATTGATTAGGGATGGGAGTGGTTCGGTGCTTGGGTCGTTTTCAGAGAAGGTAGGGGGAGGTCCTCCTTTACTTGCAGAGCTTTTGGCGATCAAAAGAGGGTTGATTCTTAATGAGGAAGTTGGTTACAGTCCAAGCCAGAGGATTATTTTGGAATCAGATTCGACTAATGCTCTAAAGTGGATTAAAAATCCGGACCTTAGTACTCCTTTGTTTAAATCCTTGGTGACGGATATAGCTACTCGTGTGGAAATGAAGGGTATTATTACAAGGCATATTCCGAGAGCTGCAAATTGGGAAGCGGATGAATTAGCAAAAGCTGGTATAGGTTGATTTTTGGGTTTCTATTGTGGTTAGAGGTGTTATATCTTGGCTGTTTTTTAAGGGAGTTATTAGGGTGCGTTATGTATCCACAGTTGTGGCTTAAAGGTTATGTTGTTAGTAGTTAGTCATGTAGGTGTGGAGGTGTATTATGGTTCTCATTAATAAAAGTTAGGCACCCTTTTCCTTCTTCCTATGCCCTTCATGTTATGTTTATATTATAACATGTAGGGTATGACGGAGGTTTTTAATGAGGCCATTATCAAAAAAAAAAAAAGTCATCTATAATTTTGATCATACCTCCATACCCATATCCGTTGTTGGACACGGGTTCTTCAAGTAAACTTATGATTTGACCTATTTAATTTGTATGTTTTTAAGTTTGTGCTTTTCATTTGTATAACTCATCTCTCTCTCTCTTTCTTTTTTCTTATATCAAAATTACCAATTTATTATAAATTTTATATTGTTTCATTGAATATTAGGATATTATTTGGCAACTAAACTGACCACTTCATTGTGAATAAGTTAGCTAATCGATACATTGTTTCTATCTTGTTAAATTGGAATTCAAAGCTTGCATTTGTAATCTTGGGATGCTTGTAGGTTAAAAACCCCTGGCCAAATGTTGATGCACACAGTGGAGTGCTGCTGAACTATTTTGGTTTGACCGAAGCAAGGTACCATTTGAAGCTTTTCTGTCATATAGCATGGACATTTATTACTGTTCATTTTTTGGGGGAAGCATGAATAGTTGTTGTGATCTAGTAATTCTTAATATTTTTTTTATAACTCCGTGTGCAGATACTATACCGTTCTTTTTGGTGTATCAAGGAGTATTGGAATTTGTTCACAGGTTTGTTTCTCCTGCAATATTTCATCTGCATTTGTGTGAATCACCAGATGATGTGTTGAGTTCAAATATGTTGTTTTCTGTTGGTTCAGCTTATATGGGACCGAGCACTAGGATTGCCCCTCGAAAGGCCAAAAAGTGTTACAATGGATTGGCTAGAAAATTACTGCAAGAAAGCAAAAGCAGCTTAAATTTGGAGGATGGACTTGAATTTTTTGCTAGTAGCAAATGAACTACTTAGCACAATAATTTCTCACATGGTTTGGTTTTGTGACCATTGGAGCAGCTATGTACAATGTGGTCAATTGCACGTTGTTTCGTCTTTTTTTTTTCCTGAGAAAGAAACGCCTGATTCGTTGGGTAGTTGAGTTTCAATACAGTTTGCCAAGTTCTAGGCTTGGGTATAAGAAATAAACGTAACCATTGCTGGTTCTGCAATGTTTGTAGTATGGATTACGATTGATTTTGGTATATACAATTCTCCGGTAGATTTAATACCAACAGAACTTGCGGAAACTCAGGAATATGATCGACTATATGAAATTGTTCTTAAAACATACTACTATTCCATATCAGTCTTTACCATTACCAATGCCCTTAAAAAGTGAGCACATCGCGTCTATTAGCAATTTAGAATGTGTTGTGTGATACCTTCAACCAAAAGTAAAGTGAGGAAAAAATATATGTAAGGATCAATTCAAACATTAAGTATTAAAAATATAAAATAAAAAATAAAAAAAATTATTATCATGTGTAGCGTCTATTCAACGTCTTATACACGACGAGGGCTATGGACAAAAGGAAAAGCAAATACTAGAACTCGAAACTACAGATATGCAAATTATGGATCAAGCAATAAAATGATAAATAACATCGATTCCACATATATATCAGTTTTTACATCTTTCATCGATGTTTTTTGTTTGAAAAAAATTGAATTGGCTCAAATTAATTTAATCCAATTTGACTTGGAGTCAATCTAGCCCACTTAATTAATAAATTTAATTTACATATGTATTTAAATAAATTTTGGCATTAATATTTTATTTAATATAAATTTGATTCAATCATTCGCCGAGTCATGCATATGTATCTTTTGTCATATTATTTTTTCAACATTTACTCATGACGTTATACCTAAACATAAATTATTTTGTATCCATACATATTTAGGATCTGTTGAAATGCCTTGAACAACTTAACATCGGGTATAAACTAGTTAACAAAGCAAAACACTGCATAGGCTAAAGTAATAAATCTTGACAAAACTATTTAAAATGATTTATTTAAAGTTTTCAAAAACCTTTAATGAGAATTTTAAAAAATGTATCCACATTTGAACATAACAACATGAACAGGAAACATATAAAGATTATAGAGAATAGCTCCAGTACAAGGTTCAATAATCAAACTTGAAGCAAGTCCGTTTTATGTCAGTACGAGTACGAAGCTTATTACAGCAAACTACAGACGGAAACTGAAACATGGCAATGTCCAAACTATGTTCTTCCCATTGAGCATCCACACCTGCAACATTGACTATCTGATGAAAATCAGTTTGCAGACCAAGTGTATCAGCAAAACTCAAGAGAATAGAGCATTTATAGTATCTTTCGCATGCATCACCAAACTAGCAAATGCCATTTTTTTTATAAAAAAAAAATTCAAGGCCTTGACAGAAAGAGATAAACATGTAAAATTAGATGCCTCTAAACAAAACATTCATAAAAGCTAATAACTTACTTGATGTGCTTTTGATAGAAATTTAGACAAAGCACAAGAATAAAAGCCGCAGCAAGAGAGAATGCTAGCCTTTGCACATTAAATTTTCTACGTTATTAGGCTCTATTTGTTTCATGAAATAAGCTCTCGGAAAATAGAAGTTTCGTGGGGAGTATTTTATGGGAAGCTAATCTTATATATATTTGGATGATGCTACATTAAAACTTTGTGCTGTTTGTGAAAAATATTTGCAGATTTGAAATTAATGTCAGCATCTGCCAATTACTTTCAAAACAAATATTTCTAAGAAATCAAATAAAATTTGCTAATACCGCAATCCTGAAAGAATATCATAAATAATACCCAATTACATACAATATCAACCAACGTACATCTTAGAAATATAACAAAATATGGAAAGAAAATAAAAGAAACCAAACTATCAACAGGATTATCACGATCATTTTTCCCCATTCCATTTTCTCCTACGACCTATGAACACAACCTTTTACAGGTATCACCTTACCCTAGAGAACTTAAACTTTAATATATTAAAAACCTAAAATCTTTTATCATATCTTTGAAAAGGTAAATTGTTTTAGGTACATATTAAGTATTGGAATCTAAATAGTTACTTGGTGAAGCGTAGCATTCCTAAATTGGTTATCTTGATATGCCTTTCTCCAAGTTCTATGTTATATTTTCGTTAATGGTTAGCAATTATGCTTATGTTTAATTAAGTGGTCGTGTGACTGGCATGTGATCTTCCAATTACTTTGAATGGCTTAGACAAGGAAGTGAGTATTTGTACAAAACCACTACTATCAACAGCTGCCATAACACTAGTATAAATAGTCCTTTAAACAAATTAAACTTGGACATTATGGCTAGAGGTCTAACAAAATCTAAAGCCCAGTTATTTTTGGCTCCAATTTCCATTTAACATCAATTCTAGCTCGCTCTGGACTTCTTCAGAGTGTTTCAAATGTCCCTTTATTCAGCTCTACATGTAACAAATTAATATAATTCTGAGAAGAAAATTGTAACAAATTTAAAGACCAAATATGAAAACATAAACAATAGCAGATACGATAATTTACACTTAAAATACTAAACAAAATAAAAGGGTTTCTGCTACATGGTGACAATGTATTTTCACCCATGCCAAATAAAAGTTTTTAATGGCAAGATAACATTCATTCATCTACTTAATGTAGAAGATGAAAATTGCAACTAGTGAAAATATTGTAAGGTCAGGGATGAAGATGAGTTTTTGTTGTAAGTTGGACAGGCTTATGTTTAATTAACACTTTTTAATCAGGATGATAACAATCTCACTCTTATACTAACTGGTAATCAACTTTACAGGAAACTAACAGATATCTCAGATCAGCCATCTATGGAATATGGATTAAACAGCAATTTCAAACAACACGGGGGAAAATAGTTGTGGCTTTAGAGAACAAGCTTGGAGTCAATGCCTTCAATGGAGTCAATAAAGCTTATGCAAATGATACAACGTTAGTAGAAGTAATACTTGCAACAAACAACCCGTTACAGCTTTGAATTCCCCTATTCAGATTCCAAAACCACTCCCAAAACGTAAGCATCAAAGTCGTTCTCTAAGTTAACGGTGATAGGGGGAAAAAGCAAAGGGATTGGCATGATTAGCCTTTACCAAACCATATTTCCAAAGTTTCCAAACCATAAAACCAGTTTCACATATTTCCCATATCCTAATGCCCTAAAATTTTAAAATAAGTAGCAAAATCAATTCAAGATTTGAAATTCTTAAAATTGAAAGGAACCCAATTATGAGAAATTTAATTTTCTTTCACAACCGAATGTGGAAATTGAAAAATTCTATACCTTTCATGAAAAGCATAAAAACAAAAACCTGGATATCAGTTTTGATTACAAAACAGAAATGATCTGAATCTCAAAGTATTAATGAAAGACAGGAGAAGGAAAGACCTGATCTCAATGAGAGTGAGAAGAAGATTGTTGCTGATGATTGTGAGAGGAGGAAGGAGCATAAACCCTATTGTAGACCTGTTCCCCGACCAGATAAATGCCAAAGGCGACGAGGGCGATGCCTAGCCCAGGGGTTGCGTGGCGGAGCTGATTGCCGAGCATCGGATGCTTCCTCCACTCGTCCCTCCTCTTGAAGAATTCCCCTGTCGGTCCAAGCGTCTTCCCCATTCTCTCAAGTCTCTCCCTGCTCTGTTCGGCGTTTTCAGATTTTGGGCTACCCACTGCCCTCACCCTCGATTATGTCACCCTAATATATTGGGTTACTTCCCTACTCTGCCTTGTTCAGTTATCACCTCTTGCTCAAAATATTGGACTGGATTGACTAATTCACCTATGGTTCAATGAGAGCCCAGAATATTGGTAAAATGTATATACAAGTCCTGATATTATAAGTACGTAAAATTGTTACAAAATATATCATTTTTTAAGGATTTTGTATTTGATCTCCAATAATTAACTTCTTAAGATATGTTGAAAGATATAAATATATATTTTAAATAATTATTATTTGATAAAAAAATAATTTTATAAGAAGTGTTCAAATATTATTTGAAGCATGTTTTAAAATATAAAAACCAAATAATTAAACAATTGATACCATTCAAATATTTTAAATAATATAAATGCTTTTTAATTTTATATTTTTATCATGTGATAATTTTGATAGTATCATATGATATTTTTTAATTGTACTATATCATATTAATGAAAGAATTAAAAGATCAAAAGTGATTTCAGAATTATAAGTTAAGTACTTAATTCAATAAAAATAATAATGTGTATGTGTGACTCTAAAAGACAGTATAGTTTGTGGACTTACTGTTGAATTAACTCGAAAGTTTTCTCTAAACAAAAATTCGTTTACTTCACAATACAAAATTATGGCCCGAATTGGATCTGGAGCCCAATTACTAACCCCTGGAGCACGCTCTAAGAGAAGCGCGTGGAGAAGAAACAATTAGATTCCCATATGATCGGCAATCCAAATGGAAAAAGATGAATAGAGATCAAGACTCCGTTAAAAAAGCCGCATACCGACGCAATGCATCTGTCAACCCCAGCCGCATTTCCACTAGCCGATAAAGCGTCAAAAGCTCCGATAAGGAAGCCGACGACGACGACGTTGAGGAAGAAGGAGAAGAGGAATTGCATGTGTCTTCGAAACGAAACGGTTATTATAAATAAACCAATCGATTTTTCATTAAATTAATTCAGAACGTTAATAATTTATGCATGACGATGATGATGATAACACTGTTTCAGCTTTATGACATTTGATTTCTCTGAAGGAGATTAAATATTTGAATGTTTTAAAGTCATGAATTTTAAGTTGTGACCTGAATGACCTTAGTGTTAAGAGTAGAAAATTATATAAATAAATAATTTCTCTACGTGGGAGGCAAGGTATATAGATTTGTGTGCACTTATTCAACAACTAGACTGGTTTTCAGTTGAGCCCAAGTACCTCCTCAGCTTTAAGATATTGTTATCATTATGCAAATATGCAGTACTTCTGACACGTCTCTTTCTTAGGTGATTGATGCGTATTGTTGTAGTATCAGGTGAATTGGTCTATCTTTAACTTGTTCCTGCTGTACTGTTCTGAGGCAGCAGTGCAGGTGCCCCAATTTATTCTCTCTTTACTTGGGTTTGCTAATTCTTTTTAGGGTCCAGATTATAAGGAAACGAAATGGAAAGACTCAACTTTTATAGGATCTGGTTACATGTTATTTCATAGTGTGATCAGAAATTGTGGTTATTTCTTGTCACCTGGATAGCGTTTTTCTTCCATGTAGGCGCTAGTAATATTATGAAGTCCAAGGAGCATGATGAACACCCAGAATCAGATCCGTTAAGTGCTCCTCGAAGGTCTTAAATCAGAATACCCTCTAAAACCCTTTATTTAGGAGAGAGTAATGCTAGTTCCATATTCTGTAGTCTTCCAAATGAGCCATTAGCAACTGAAAGGGAGGATTTACGCACAAACTATGAGGGTTCCAAGTAATCCAATATCTGGCAAAAGGCCTGCAAAGGGAAAGGCAATTCAAGAATGTGGTTTGAAGCAAAATATTAAGCAAATGTGCATGCAAACAGAGGTGGAAAAATATGGCAAATTCCATCAGAGAGGTGGGCAAAAACGCCATTGGGTTGTCGACAGGAAAGGTCAAGGAACATAAAGAATCGTTGTGGTGGAACGACGAAGTCCAAACTAAGGTGAAAACAAAGCAAACTTGCTTCAAGGAGTTGCTACAATGCAATGACGGCGAAGAAAGATCGAGAGCTAAACAAAGATACAAGGAGGCAAAGCGAGAAGCCAAGAAAACAGTGGCTCAAGTAAAGGATAAGGCATACGAGGAAATGTACAAGAGATTAGACACCAAGGAAGGACAAAAAGGCATCTTCAGGCTTGCAAAATCCAGAGAGAATAGGAAAAATGATCTAGGTAGCATTATGTTTATAAAAGACAACAATGGTGTTCTTTTAGTGAAAGTGTAACACCCCGAACTCATATTCGACCCGAATACAAGTCCGAGATGTCACATTGACTTTTCAAACTTTGATTCTTAAAGAAAAATCCTGGGAATTTAAAACTTTCATTAAAACAAAATACTTTAATTTACATAAAAGAGACCACTTAATACAAAATCGATCAGAGCATTCGTAATTAACCACTTATTACATACCAACACTTTATACACAACAAAATACCTACTTTGTCAATTACTTCTGATCTGATTTCTTAGTAATGTTGTTGTCCGTGCCACTTCTATTCTGAATCTTCTTATTTCTTGGTACCTACGTGTAAATCACTTACACGCTAAGTCATAGACTTAGTGAGGCAATAAATGAATATGCAACAATATCTTCATGAATATGCATTCTTACCATTTCCTTCATAACATTTCAATATGCATGTATATATTACATAATAACATATATAATCATATCATGCATGTATAAAACTTACCTTCTTGTACCACTTTCACTTTACTTTGTATTTCAATTGCCCATGTATATTATTGGGAATAGAGGTATGTGAGTACATTAAGGTTGTGCACTAATGTTGTCACCACAGCTCGTATCAATTTCCTCATGGGGCACCGAACCTTAGTTCAGTATTCGACCTGAAGGACTGTCATATATGTCCCGTAGGATAACTACATCCCGAAGGACTACGTCCCAAAGGACTATTATACCCTCGACTATTATACCATCGACTCTTAGCATGCCAATTACACCTATATCTCCCATATCGTATACTATGGGCATTATTCTTATATTTCATATGTTCATGTACTCATGTCATTTCTCTTGTGATCATGTAGTTCATGTCATTTCTCTTGTGATCATGTAGCTCATGTCATTTCTCTTGTGATCATGTAGCTCATGTCATGTTCTCATATCACATATCATATCACATGTGTATTTGAATCTATTCATATATATACATCATTTATCCAATCACTGAACATATATATGCCTTATGCATGTATTACAATAATTATCATGTATGCATGTTCACAACTATTGTACTATGAAAATCAATATAGGAATTAGACTTATCACAAGTCTTATTCCATTATACTATACATATAGTATGCACTCACCTTAGCTTAGCTTTGCTTTGATTCGATTCTAATCCTTTGATCGTTCCGGAATAAGCTTACTTTTAGGATCTACATAATCATACATGTATCTATATCAGTATTATAGCTAATATACTCTAATGGTTCACTCTTTAGATTAAGATAAATGCCAATTTTCTCTTTTAATGAAGGTATGCATCGATGCACTACTTGTGCATCGGTGCATAAAATGCATTCGATGTTTTATTATTAATGGAATGCATCGATGCATGCCTTATGCATCGATGCACTAATTGCATTCTATGTTTATATTTTAAAAGAGTGTATCGATGCACAACCTGTGCATCGATACACCTTCAAACAATTTCTGGGTTTTAACCTTGATGCATCGATGCACTATGAATAGGCATCGATGCACTCTGCCCAGAATTCTCTTTTTGAACCCGAAAATTCATTGACTTTGGATTAAATCCTTCATATTTAATCCCCTTTTTCATTCTTAACTATAGTACACATCCTTAAACCAATTTATACTCATTTATTTCATCTTAAACCTCCAAATCATATCTTTCATATGTAATTCTAGAATTACATCAATAATTTAACATGTTTGAATTCCACTTTTAACACTTCGTATATCTTAACTAGATTGATGACAAGAAACTCAATAATCAGAAATCTTACCTTTGCTTTGGTTCACACGCACAAGGAAGAAAGAAGAAGAAGAGAACTCTGGAAGCCTTGGGTGTTTTCTCCCCTTCCACCCACGTGTATCCTTATATATATATACTTATCCTTTCTTTAATTATTTTTCCTTGCAATTACTTTATTGTCCTTCCATTCCTTATTCTTTTCAATTCCATCCTACACAATAATTTACATGTAAATCTTTATATTATTCATTCATTTTATTTTAACTACCAAATTCTGAGACTTTACAATTTAATCACTAATTCGGTATTGAGGATGTTACAACTCTCCCCCTTAAGAAAATTTGTCCTCAAATTTTCATTATGCAAAGAGGTAGGGGTACTTAATCCTCATGTCCTCTTCACGTTCCCATGTTGCTTCCTCTATTTTGTGATTCCTCCACAAGACTTTAACCAATGGAATAGTCTTGTTCCTTAGTTGCTTGACTTCGTGAGTTAATATTTGAACATGTTCTTCCTCATAAGTTAAATCTGGTCGAACTTCAATTTCTTCAGTAGTCACAATGTGGGATGGATCAGATCGATATTTCCTAAGCATTGAGACATGAAAGACATTGTGTATCTTTTCCATTTCAGGTGGCAAAATTAGTTTATATGCTACTGGTCCTACTCTCTTAGTAATCTCGTAAGGTCCAATGAATCGAGGACTCAACTTTCCTTTCTGTCCAAACCTCAATACTTTCTTCCACGGAGACACTTTCAAGAACACTTTATCTCCGACTTGTAATTCAATCTCTTTCCTTTTTAAATCATCATATGATTTATGTCTATCAGCTGCAGCTTTCAGATTATTCTGAATTACTTGAACATTTTATTCCATATTTTGAATAAACTCAGGACCAATAACTTCTCGATCCTTAAGTTCATACCAGTTCAAGGGAGTACGATATCTTCTTCCGTATAGAGCTTCATAGGGAGCCATTTTGATGCTTGATTGATAACTATTGTTGTACGTAAATTCAACAAGTGGTAAATACCTTTCCCACGATCCTTTGAATTCAATGACACAAGCTCTTAGCATATCCTCCAGAATTTGAATAGTTCGCTCGGATTGACCATTGGTTTGAGGATGAAACACTGTACTGAAGTTCAACCGAGTTCACAATGCTCCATGTAATGACTTCCAAAACCGTGATGTGAATCTAGGATCTCGATAAGAAACTATGGAAATAGGTACACCATGCAAACGTATAATCTCTTTAATATACAACTTAGCATACTTATCTATGGAGAAATCAGTTCGTACAGGAATAAAATGGGCTGACTTAGTCAATCTATCTACGATCACCCAAATTGAATCATTTTTGTTCGAAGTTAAAAGCAACCCCGTGACAAAATCCATCGTTATGTTTTCTCATTTCCATTGAGGAATTGAAATTGGCTGTAACAATCCTGACGGAACCTGATGCTCAGCTTTGACTTGTTGACAAGTCAAACACTTTGATACAAATTTCGCAATGTCTTTCTTCATTCCCGGCCACCAATATCGACTCTTGAGATCCATATACATTTTGTTCCCTCCCGGATGCATTGTCAATGGACTACAATGAGCTTCCGTTAACAAATCATTCTTTAATGCATCATCATCCAGAATTACCAATCTTTTTCGATAATACAAGTTCTCATCAGACTTAATCTCATAATCCGTACCCTCTCCATTCCTTATCTGTTGTATCTTCTTTAAACACTTTCCATCTTTAGCTTGCAATTCTTTAATTCGATATAGCCATGCTGGCTTGACAGTCAGTTCTGCACAAATTTCACCATCTTCTCTTAACGATAATCTAGCATCAAGAGCTTGCAAAGCTGCAAACGTCTTTCTATTCAAGGCATCAGCTACCACATTTGCCTTTCCGGGATGAAAATCAATCACAACATCATAATCCTTAAGAAATTTCACCCATCTTCTTTGTCTTAAATTCATCTCTTTCTGATTCATCAAGTATTTTAAGCTCTTGTGATCCGTATACAAGTAACATTTTTCACCATACAAGTAGTGACGCCAGATCTTTAAAGCAAACACTACTGCCGCCATCTCTAGGTCGTGTGTTGGATAATTCTTCTCGTGCGGTTTTAGTTGTCTCGAAGAATAGGCCACCAGCTTGCCTTCTTGCATTAATACGCATCCCAAACCACTATGAGACGCATCACTATACACTATAAAGTTCTTGCCAGACTCGAGTTGAACTAACACTGGACCTTTTGTAAGAATCTTCTTTAACTTTTCAAAACTCTCTTGACATTCTTGAGTCCAAACAAATTTTATTTCCTTTTTCAACAGTTTAGTTAGGGGTAATGCTATGATCGAAAAGTTTTTAACGAACCTTCGATAATAACCAACTAACCCCAGAAAACTTCTAACTTCTGATACATTCTTTGGAACTTCCCACTCCAGAATAGCTTTAATCTTTTGGGGATCCACTCGAACTCCTTCTGCAGAAATTACATGTCCAAGGAATGTCACTTCATTCAACCAAAATTCACATTTAGAAAATTTAACATAAAGCTTCTTGTCTCGTAAAATCTGTAAAACAATCTGTAAGTGTGAATTATGCTATTCTTCTGACTTTGAATATATTAAAATATCATCAATAAACACCACAACAAACTGATCCAAATAAGGTTGAAATATCATGTTCATTAGATCCATAAAAGCAGCTGGTGCATTCGTAACTCCAAACGGCATCACGATAAATTCATAGTGACCATATCTTATTCTAAACGTCATTTTTGAAATGTCTTTCTC